TCCCCCCAAGTCAAATATGACCCGTCCACCACTACCCTCTGAGTACGGCCCTTCAGCCAATTTGCAATCCATGCAATCCTTCTAGTATGCCTATAAGGAGTTCGCAACGGTATTCCTAAAAACACTGTCTTTACTAACACCCGCACAGACAATCTTGTATACCTGCTCTCCTCTATTGTATACCTGCTCTCCTCCTTATATTACCTGAGTTGCAAGTGGCACATTAGGTGATCTGCTAGGAATCTACTGCATCAAGTTTTGAAACTTAAATTGAACAACAGCTAGTACCTCAATTTACAGAACTTCAGATGAGCTTGTTTTGTCTTTGTGAATATGCATACATATAGGCATGCACGTATGGACATTGACAGAGCAAAGAGGCAAAAGAAATAATATCCCTTGATGGAAACACAGTTATTTTCTAACTTATAAAATGCATACATCACCAGCTCTAAAGACACAAACAAGTGAAATGTAAGTAACAGATTAAAGGTGAACTAACAAAACCTCCAAACAAAAATAAAACCCCTCTCTCCTCCCTCTCCATTCACTAAGACAAAAGAATGAGTAACATTTGTGAAGTATGGTCTTGAAGTCTCTGTAGGACTCCTGGGTAAAGGAATCTGCAGAGTCAAGAACCCTCCCCACTACTGAAAACATCCTCTCTGGCATTCTTCCCAGCATTTTAAATGTGTAGCCTACCAGTAAGAGTATTCCAAAACATTTTCATTGCTCAAGATGAAACATGAAGAAAAAGGTGATATGTACATAGAAACAAGAATTCTGAGCTTTGCATATCACCTTGATTTGCACCAGAATACAAAACTAGGTTTTTGTAATTACTTCTAGTTCCTCCATCACTGTGGATCACCATAGGACTTTCACAGCCACCTGGAAGCCAAGTACTGGGCATGCCAAGCAATTTCCTGATTGACAAATAAATCCACCCTTAGATTATAACTGTTTCTTCACATCCTCCCAAATGCCTTCTTCCAGGCTTAATTTGGAGGGGACTGTAGCAGGGCAGGGTGTACCAGATATGTAGATTACCTAAATCTCTTAATTGGACAATTATATTATTTAAAGAAAATAAGGGATACACAGTTTCCCTACCATGCTTCGTAAAATAACTAATCTCCAGCAATACATGCAAAAAAAATCATATGCAAATGGATGATGGCATGATTGGTATTTGATCCCTGATCCTACAATTGTGCCTCCTGCCATACACATGTAGCCTCGCAGGAAGTGCAACTGTTGGGATCGCACATCAGATCCAATGGGGCCTTTCATTGAACATCTACTAGGGGCCTTAAAACACAATAATAAAGTACTTTCAGTGCGAGTAGGAGTATCATTTTACTATTAGTTTGTTATCTATATTGGGGTGGTGCTTAACACCTTTAGTAACGAGTCTGGTCTCCATTATGCTACACTGAATACAACACAATGCTAAGAAAGCAGCTGTCCTAGACAGCTTTTGATTTTACCCAAAATAAAAATGAAATGGAAGTGTAAAATCTAAAATCTATTGCTGTAAACTGAAATACAATCCCAGGATATATTCAAAAGCTGATCCTATAATGTTTTCTAATATCTATTGATATTCTAGAATCTGTAAGAAAGGAAGTATGTCAATGTCACATCTTATGTCAATGAGCAAAAGTTAATTAAGGAATCATAAACCACCTATTACATCAGTTAGTTGCGTTCTATGCTGATTCCGGATTATCATATCATTTTATCACTGTGCACAGAAAAGATAAACACATTTGGTCTCAATTACTTCATGCATTCAAACCAGATTTTGTGCTCAAAGAGGTATCAGCTGCTCTGTGATGCATGCACACTTTAAATAGATGTATATCAGTTCACTGCCAAGAAATTAATGGAAAAATCATGCAATGCACTTACACAATATACATATATGCTTCTAAGCTGGTCATTTTTAAATGAATGTTCTTGAATTATGTCAAAGGCACATTTTTTAATAATGCCTAAATTCATGTATCATAGTAGCTAGGGTCAGGAAGGACCTGAACAGATCATCTAGCCTGACCCCCTGCCACAGGCAGGAATGAATGCTGGGTTCACAAGACCCCAGACAGGTGATCATCCAACCTCCTCTTGAATCTGCCCAAGGTAGGGGCGAGGACCACTTCCCTGGGAAGCTGGTTCCAGATTTTGGCCACCCTAACTGTAAAATATTGCCTTCTGATCTCTAACCTAAACCTATTCTCCATCAGCTTATTACCATTGTTCCTTGTCACCCCAGGTGGTGCTGGGGAGAAAAGGGCTCTGCCTATTTGCTGTTGATCTCCCCTGATGAGTTCGTAGGCAGCCACCAGGTCCCCCCTCAGCCTTCTCTTGCTGAGGCTGAACAGGTTCAGGTCCCTCAGTCTCTCCTCGTAGGGCCTGTACTGCTGCCCGCTCACCAAGTGGGTAGCCCTCCTCTGAACCCTCTCCAGGCTGGCCACATCCCTTTTGAAGTGCAGATTTCAGCTAGGGGTTGGCATTCAGTTCCAGGGCTAAGAAAGTCTTAATGCTGAATAAATAGGTTGGGGATGGGGTGCACAGCTCTTTAGCCAGGAGACTGGAACACCTATATAGATGCCTCAAAGGCAAGTTCTTCAGCCAGAGCAGGCCAGCTTCAGCCTTGGCAAGCTCTCTAAGCCTTCAGTTCCCTCCCCACCACAGGAGGGCCAGACGATTGACAGTCTGCCCCCTCTCTTACCTCTCTCTCTTCCCTGCTGTCTGGGGGAGTCCCAGAAGGATTTGAGCTCCAGCACCTCTGCCTTTTGTTCTGAGCATTTAGTCACCCTGAAGCTGTGCAAGGGCAAAGGTGGAAGGGCTCAACCCATCCTGGGGTTCCCTGGGACAGGTGGAGTCATGAGGAAATGCTCCCCGCCCCTTGCACAGCTCTGGGAAGAGACCAGGATCTGTGCATGCAGAACCTGGGGTCTCTGCAGGGATAAAGGACTCAAGAATGGGTGTGGGGACAAGGCAAGAACAACCTTGCAAGAGGACTCCCATATCTGGAACAAGTCAGTGGCCTTGAAGAGGCAGGGCTTGCTTATGCCCTCTAGTGCTAGGGCACGCTGCAGTATAGACAAGCCCTTTATACACCTACATTCCCAAGTCACTTTTGAAAATAAGACTTAGGACATGGCTCCATGGCACAATGAAGTGCTACGTAGAGATATCAAACCTGCTTAGGTACCACAGAAAGTATACCCAGGTTAGAAGAGTGCTTCACCCAGGCTAATTAGACATGTGTCTTAGTGCCATGCTAATATAATTATACTACTTCCTGCAGCTGAGCTAGCTCAGGTAGCTCTACACCATGTTGCATTGTGCTGTGCAAACATACCTTGGGCTCCTAAGTCCCTCAAGCACTTTTGGAAAATATAAACTTAGGCAAAATTTTCATAAGTAATTCTATCCAAAAGAAAAAGGAATAATCTGGATACTCCTGACATGGGAAACTATTTTGCAGAAAAGCTAAAAACCTTCTTATTTTACAAACATTCTAATACTGAAAGATGAGTGGTATTTTTCAAATGATAGACAAATCCTTAGGTTTTCAGTGTCAGATACACTCATACTCCACCTACTGGAGATCCAACTAAAGCTCATGAAAATCTTTGGCAATTTAGGACAACTCTCAAGTTTCTGCTAACTTGTATATCCACAAATTTGGAAAGTTAAGAAGCATCTACACGGAGGAGGGAAGAAAAGGGAGAGACAAAGCGAAACCTGAAGACATCAGTAAAATAACCATCAGCAAAATGTTCCAAGCAAAATACCCCCATTAATAAACTAATATTGGACTTTTGTATACTAATAAGCAAGAGTAATCTCTTTTTTTTTTAAATCTCAGAAAACACCACAGAATCCACAGCAGGAACACAAAGAATGAAGGTAGTAATCAGAAATAAGCAGACCTCACTAAGGCAGGGTAGTGAAAATGATTAGCAATAACAAAACTGTTTCTGATGCACCAGTACAAAAAGATGAACATGTAGTGTTTTGCAAATGTGAAAAATGAACACCTTGGAGCTGTAACTGAAGAAGCACACCTGCTTCATGAACTCTAGATCCTTAAACTATGAATTCATAGCTAAACTACTTTTGAGAGTAGGTTTCTTTATTACCAGCCACATCACCATTTTGGTCCATTAGAACTTGTTTGAATTAAAAGAGCAGCTGTTTAAGTAAATTTTCATGACCTGAAAACCAAATAATGGATAGGTTTTCCCCCTGCTTCCTGCTTTTTGTGACTTACTCTTAAAATGATGGCATATTATCAAAATAAACAACTTTTTTTTCATGGGCTTGAGCAGGATGAAATAGAATCACACTTAGGGGTCTAATAGGTAGAATACTTTCCAGCCTTTAGTAATGAACAAGAAAAAAAGAATAAGGGGTCTTTGCGGTATTATCCCTACCATGGGATAATTAAAGACAATGACAACATATTTTTGCTAATATCTAACAGTATCACCATGCTATGGCTTAAGAACCCTAACTACCAATTTACAGTACATACAGAACCATCCAGATTGGATGACTATCTAATGTTTAGATAATTTTTGTTGCTTTTCCCCCACAATGATTGAAACTACAAGATTCACAGTAAACTATTCACTTGCTCTCTTTATGTATATACCAGTTTGTTCAACATCTGTCAAACAGAAACTCACAATTTTGCTTCCTCTCCACTGTTAGTTATCAAGTTCAGCTGAAAAATGAATTACAAAACATAATATACTAGGTAGGTAATAAACCATCCATCTGGTAGGAATCACTGTTAAAACATTGTTAGTTTTCACATCTACTCATCTTTGCACCGTTGTTTTACATATACATGTCATGTGAGGATTATAGCAAAATTAATCATGTTGAATTCTGTTTAATTTATTATTACAGAACTAATCCCATAGATTATGAATTTGTGAAGACCTGTGGGCACTGGAACTGAATCTATTATAGAAACTTACCATGCATACCTGGTAGACTTGATTTAGGTTCTGCTACTTGATGTGCCAGACTGCTCACTAAAACAGGAAAAAAAAAAAAGGAAAAAAAAGAAAAAGATATTAACAAATGTTTTATGGTAACATCAGCAACTTTATCTTGTTACATTCATAAACACAGAAAATATGTCCTTCAAACACATTTATAAAATACAAAATCTGTTTCTTTAATGAACAAACTAAATTTTATACAACAGAGTTGCCCAAGTAGCAGAAAGCTGCTTTATACAACGGGGCCAACATTGTATCCAACAGCTGGTGTCAGTGGATGGACATAAAAATCTTGGTGCTATAAGGAGATATTATATATTTATATATTAGTGGTGTTTCATTTTAATCATGGAAAAATGTGGATTTTGGGTTCTTCTTTCAATCCAAAAATTGGGGATTTTTTTTTAATCAGAGAAAAGCAGGATCCCAGTTGATCAGGAGGGACCTGGAAGGAAGACTTCCTTTGCTGGATGAGGAGGAAAGCCTGTCAGGATTCAAGTATAACCCCAAAAATGGGAGCAGTGCACATTCTGCCCCAAGGAAAGAAGGAATTGGAGCACAGGAACCAGGCCAGAAACTGACCTGGGGAAAAGTCTCACCAAAGAGACCCAGAGGCTGGAACAGGATTGGCAAAGTTTCCAAATCAGAAAGGGAACTATGCACCATAGCAAAAGCCACAGCCTCAAGCCCTGGAAAATAATAAATTGAAAGGGCAAAGGACGAAAGGGCTGGAACCTGGAAGTACCAAATAAACCCTTTATATTGTGAGGATTTAATAGATCAGCCCCTTGCTACACGAGATGTCTAGAGAAAGAAGTAGGAACCCCAGGCAACGTGTCTGCAGTGCCAAACAGGGGAGATGTGGTCTGCAACACTCTCCTGTTCTACAAGTGTTGTGAGATTTAATTGTGTGTATATGTCCTTAAGTTCTTCAGTGCAAGGCGATATAAGTGTAAAGCATTATTACAATGGCTAATACTTGGATAAATTATTCCATTTAGTCTGCCTTCTCAATATCTGTCCCTCACTGTACTTGAAAAGCAAATGCTCAGAAGAAATTTATGCTGCCTTTAGGCACACAACAATAAAATAAAAACATATTTGGTTCATTTTTTAAATCCAAGCCAGAAGTTATATTTTTTAACTTATAAAATTATTAGATACCACTGCTTTCATATTTCTTCACTATTCAAGATAAATCTGCTGTGTGTCCAGCAAGTGCTCATGGCTGCAAAACAAATCAGTTTGGACAATCAACAGAAAACAGACAAGGAAGCAGTGCCACTATCGCAATAGGAAGCACAGTTAAGCTGCAAGTGCTCCTTGGTTTTCAAAATTAAATTCTCTATATCTCTATTTTTTTAAATACACTGCCATGTTTGTACTGGGATAACTGTTTTAATATTTAGTATTAAGATGTCAGATTTTGATTCTGAAACGGAATTAATGTATAGTCTTTTCCTGCACTTACCATCATATGGTTTGATATTTGCTACTGATTTAGTGGATAATTCCCTTATCTAAAATAAAATAAAAAATAAAGTGAGATGAAGACAGTTAAATAAGAATACTACAAACATCTAAGAATGTATATGCAGTAAGTCATACAATGGATAAAAGAGCGATCTTAAAATTGAGAAGCCTCAAACAATAAACATTGTTGAACTATATTAAATCTAACACTTTACTGCAAAATGATAGCTTCTTCATAAATAAAGACATATTGTTTTCATTGTATCCCTGAATCTTTCAGCGAGCAAGCTGTAAATGCACAATGCTTTTTATCCTTGTCTTCTGTGTGATCTCCTGCCTGACACATTAAACACAATATAGTCTATATATAGAGAAATAGTCAGTGATCTTATGAGCCCTGCTTCATTTCCTGTAGGTTGTACTTTCAACTTCAGCAAAGGATCTTCAATCTTGCAAGTCTAGCCCCAATCTATCAGAGTATTTTATGTTCCTGCTTCACTTCAGGTCTGTGAGCAATTCCACTGACTATGTCTGCTCCTCAGCCTAATTCTCAACACAATTCTGCCTCACTCAGTACCTACCCTACTGATTGGGGATGACAAATATGTCAGCAGCTGGTGGCCAAACCAAACATCTCGTGTGTCACATCAGTGGGGGCCACACAACCACAGACCATACTAGAGTAAGCTGTGGGCCCCCTGGGCTGCATCTTCACTGATGCTATCCTCCCCCTGCCCCAGCACCTTGTACCTGCACCCCCTGGCTTCTCCCCCAGCTGCTGCACTGTGCGCCTGCACAGGCCCTCCCTCTGTTTATCACTGCACAGAGTGCCTGAATAATCCCAGGCTCACCCTCAGTTCCCCCAGCTCCAATTCAATACATACAAACAAAATATGTCATATTTAATGAATAAGTATCAGTGGACAGATTTAAATGCTCAGGTAAATAAAGGTTGTAAACAATAAAGCTGTAACAAGAGTTCTAAGATAGATTCAACATATTTCACACTGCTAATTCATCCCTATAAAAGGAAAATGCAAAAAATGCTTAAAGAAGCTTAAATATAGTGATTTTTCACTTTCGATGGCTTAATTCTGCAACCTGAAGATCTTGCAATATAGTACTTGCAAATTACTTCTTTGGTTCCTAAAATAAGTAAAAATTAAAATATATTTCTAGACAGTAGAAATAGCTCGTACTTTTATTGTTCAGCAAAGCAGGACTACAAGTAACATTTTTAACTATATTTATATTATGTCCATTTCTCTCTGAAAGCAGACTATTTAATTTCCTCAGAAAGATTTGTTATAGTTGTCACTACACTCCCATATAAATTCATTTTTACTTTGAATAATCTGTACATATAACAGTGCTTTTACTACACCCTTAATAAGCTTTATAAATGAGGGGTCAGACTTAAATGTCGTTGCTCCTCAAAATTTTACTTAATCCTTTTAAGATGCTGGTATCATACTCAGTTCTCTTCATCCCCTAATGTGGTTTCTAGATATTGTTTATAAATATCAATATTGATATTTATCAAGGGAAGCTGGGTGACAGCAACCATGAGCTGATCACCTTCACCATCCGCCGAAAAGCTGTCAAGTCAGTCAGCAGTACAGAGGTCCTCGACTTCAGGAGGGCTGACTTTAACAAGCTCAGGAGACTTGTCGGTGAGGCCCTAAGGGACCATGACGCCAAGGGGAGGGGAGCCCAGGAAGAGTGGTCGTTCCTCAAGGGAGTGATCCTAGATGCACAAGTTAAGGCTATGGCGTCTCGGAGGAAAGGCAGCAAGAGGGCACAGCAGCCCCCTTGACTCAACAAGGAACTAGCGGACCTCCTGCATCTAAAAAGACAGACCTACAAAGGATGGAAGGCTAGATCCACCTCCATGGAGGGATATACTGTACTGGTCTGGACCTGCAGGGAGTGAACCAGGAAAACCAAGGCTGCGATGGAATTCCAACTGGTTACAAGTATCAAATACAATAAAAAGTCCTTTTTTAGATATGTGGGAGGCAGAGGATAAGCAAGGGAAACACTGGACCCCTGCTAAACCAGATGGGACAACTGACACCGATGCCCAGGAAAAAGCCAACTTATTCAATGGGTACTTTGCGTCAGTCTTTCACAAGTCCCATGGGATGCCCCTGCCCGCTACAGGACAGGGACGAGTGAGTTCCTTGCTCTCCATCAATGCTGACCTCGTGAAAGAACCCCTTGAGAGGCTGCACACCTTCAAGTCAGCCGGCCCTGACAATTTACACCCCAGAGTACTCAAGGAGCTGGCCTGTATCATAGCTCAGGCCCTGGCATGGACCTTCGAGAGGTCCTGGCACTCTGGTGAAGTGCCCGAAGATTGGAAGAAGGCCAATGTGGTGCCTATCTTCAAGAAGGGGAGGAAAGTGGATCTGGCAAACTACAGGCCCATCAGCCTGACCCCAATCCCGGGGAAGGTCTTAGAAAAAATTATCAAAGAGGCCATTCTTAACAGACTGGCCGATGGCAACACCCTGAGGGATAGCCAGCACGGGTTTGTTGCAGGTAGGTCGTGCTTGACCAGTCTCATTTCCTTTTACGACCAGGTGACCTATCGCCTGGACAAGGGGAAAGAGATTGATGTCATACATCTTGACTTCAAAAAAAGCCTTCAATCTGGTATCCAATGGTCACCTCTTGGCAAAACTGGCCAACTGTGACCTCGGGTCTACCATGATCTGCTGGCTGGAAAATTTGCTCTGTGGTTGGACTCAGAGGGTGGTGGTTGATGGAAGTCAATCGTCATGGTGCCCTGTGACCAGTGGGGTCCCACAAGGCTCTGTCCTTGGACCTATATTGTTCAAACTCTTTGTTAATGATGTGAACATTGGAGTCAGAAGTGGACTGGCCAAGTTTGCCAACGATACCAAACGTTGGGGTAAAGCATCCACACTGAGGACAGGGGGGTAATCCAGGCTGACTTTGACAGGCTCGGGAAGTGGGCAAACGAAAACCTGATGTTATTTAACGGCGCTTCTCCCAGGGGGTGCACTGCCAATCTCAGGGGGTGAACATGCACCTGTGTGCACCCCTTACGCATCGCCAATATTGTCCAGTACGGAAAACTTTGAATTTCATAATTGCCTTTCACAAACAATAATCTGGGAACCTCTGGTAGCTATTTTACAATTCAAGTAATGCAATTTTTTTTAATAGGTATCACTTTTTCGTAAGAAATATTTCTGAACTAAGCTTCTTCTGTTCCATGAGCAAACTCAGATTTATTGTCTTTTGCTTACTGCTCAGTTAATCTGAGGTTCAGCTGCTACTTTTCTTATGAAAGACAGAAAAGTTATAACTTACTAACCAGCTCTCCCCAACCTTGGCTCGAATTCTGTAAATGCTTATGTGTGTGCTTAAAATTAACCACTTGCACAAATCTATTAATTGAAACCTTTGTTGTAAATGTGCAACATTTACTAAATCAATAAATCAATGCATTTTAAAGAAGGGACCACAACAATGTTCTAATCTGATTTACTGAATAACATAGAACATGGAATCTAAATCCATAACTTTGTTTCAACAGTATCATCTCTTTTAGGAAGATCAGTTCAAGTGATGGAGAATCCACCACCTTCCCAGGTAAATTATTCCATAATTAATTACCTTTACACTGGGTGCGTCAACATGAGGTGTTAAATGTGCAGGCATAGCAAAAGCCGTGTTATTATGCTAATGCGCGTTAGAATTAGTCTACTGCACATTACCGTCACTAAGAAGGCGTGTGTCAGTGCTATTAGGCAGTAGCACTGGTACTGTGCATTCTGTTAGTATCTCTTATTACAGGTACTAAACCTAATGCACAGTACCTACAGCACATTAATGCACATGTAGTGAGGATCCTCCAAGGAGATGATCCTCCAAGCCTAAAGGGTGACAAGATCAAAGGGAGCAGGAGTGCTCAAAAGCCCCCATAGCTCACCAAAAGCATCCACGAACTTCTCAAAGGTAAAAAGGAGGCGTACACCCAATGGAAGGGAGGAGCCATCACCAAGGAGGATTTTACCTCCATTGCCCAAGATTGTAGGGGGGCTGTTAGGAGGCTAAGGCGGAGATGGAACTGGGACAAGAGACCCAGATCAAGGATAACAAGAAGTCCTTTTTTAAATACACAGGGGGTAAAAAGAAGGTACCGGGTAACATAGGGTGCCTGCAGGATATGCTTGGAAATCTGGTGGTCACACCAGACGACAAAGGTAACCTCTTTAACAATTTCTTTGCCTCCATCTTTTTGAGCAGGGATCAGGGCATCCCCCGCGCTGGGATCCCCGATGGACCCAGGGGAGGCGCTGCCAGGCCCAGGGTCAGTGAGGACCTAGTCAGGGAACTCCTGGTGGGTCTAGATGTGTTCAAGTCAGCAGGTCCTGATGATCTCCACCCCAGAATGCTGACGGAATTAGCAGAGGTCATTGTGGGACCCCTGGCACAGCTTTATGAGCACTCATGGTGCTCTGGCGAGGTGCCAGAGGACTGGAAAAGGGCCAGTGTGGTCCCCATTTTCAAAAAAGGGAGGAAGGAGGACCCAGGAAACTACAAGCCCATTAGTCTTACCTCAGTCCTGAGGAAGCTGTTTGAGAAAATTATCCAGGAGCATATCCGCAAGGGACCAGCAGGGGAGATCATGCTTAGGGGAGATCATGCTGCCTCAAATTAACCAACATGGGTTAATTTGAGGCAGGTCCTGTCAGACCAACCTGGTGGCCTTCTACGACCAGGTCACAAAATTCTTGGATGCAGGCGTTGCGGTGGATGTAGTCTTTCTGGACTTCAGGAAGGCCTTCGGCATTGCCACAGTCGCCTAATTTCTTAATGAGAATGGGGTGAGAGACATCGATGCCTACACAGTCAGATGGGTCACAAATTGGCTGGAGGGCCGCACCCAGAGAGGGGTGGTGGATGGGTCTTTTTTGACCTGGAGGGATGTGGGCAGTGGAGTCCCCAAGGCCTCGGTCCTTGGGCCCGCACTGTTCAACATCTTCATCAGTGACTTGGACGAGGGGGTGAAAAGCACCCTGTTCAAATTCGCAGATAACACTAAGATGTGGGGAGAAGTGGGCACACTGGAGGAGAGGGACAGGCTACAACTAGATCTGGACAGGTTACAGGAGTGGGCGGATGAGAACAGGATGGGATTCAATACTGACAAGTGCAAGGTACTGCACCTGGGGAGGAGGAACCAGCAGCAGACCTACAGGCTGGGGAACTCCCTTCTTGTCAGCACAGAGGCAGAAAAGGATCTTGGTGTCATTACTGATTCCAAAATGAACATGGGCCACCAATGTGGGTACGCGGTCAGGAAGGCTAGAGGGCCATCCACGTGATCAAGGGGCAGCAAGGCAGGCCCTACGAGCGGAGGCTACAGGAGCTGAACTTGTTCAGCCTCCACAAGAGAAGGCTGAGAGGGGATCTGGTGGCCGTCTACAAACTGGTCAAGGGGGACCAGCAGGCTATGGGAGAGTCCTTGTTCCCCCCGAGCACTACCAGGAGTAACAAGGAATAACGGCCATAAGTTGACCAAGAGTAGATTCAGGCTAGCTATCAGGAGGCACTACTTCACAGTCAGGACAGCTAGGATCTGGAACAAACTTCCAAGCGAAGTGGTGCTTGCTCCTACCCTGGGGGTCTTCAAAAGGAGGCTAGATAATCACCTAGCCGGGGTCATTTGACCCCAGCATTCTTTCCTGCCCAGGGCAGGGGGTCAGACTTGATGATCTGCTCAGGTCCTTTCTGACCCTACCTACTATGAAGACATGCCCAATTAGTTGTAAGTTGCGACTTATTCCTAGTACAAATGTGTAATTTCAATCACTGGATCTCATTATGCTTTATGGGACTGAAACTTTATCAAAAAATAATTATTTTTAAAAATCTTTTGTTATGGTCTCATAGCTTTTCATACCCAAAATATATTTTAAAAACGAACCTGCTTTTTCTGAGTAAGAATTAGCTCATTCTGTTCCTGAAGTCTCTGCCCTAGCTCCTCTATCCTCTTCTTATAAAAGGTATTACTTTTATTCAGATCCTCTGTCATTGATGATTTAAGCTTCTCAAGCTGCAACAAAAGCTAAAAAACAAGTAGTGGGAAAAGTAGCTTGGTAAAAACAGTGCATAAGATGTTTTAATATTTTATTTTTTTCAAATAAGCAGAACTTTGGTTTAAATCCTTCTCTCTAGGAACCTAATCCAGAAAAGTATTTAGCCATGTGTCATTTCACAGGGACTTATGAACGTACTATAGTGCTTCCTAAACCTTGGTCTTGATGGACTTTTCATTTTCACGGAGACTATACAAAATTATAGCAAGTAGAAAAAGATGTACATATAGATTGTGAAAACAGTGTGAAAGTAGGACATACAGAAAAACGTATATTTATATCAAAATTTACATTTCCATTGTTGCCAAATGACACTATTTTAGGGAAAATACATCAGAATTTGGGCAATGAATACAATTGCCTTGTTTGTCCATTTAGGCTTAACTCCAAGTAATGGGGATCAGCATTAATGAGATAAATTAAGTACATCCCTTCTGAGGGGGTTCTGTGGCTCTTCCCAGCCCTTATCAAGGGAAGAGTGGTATTGCCCATGTAGCCTCTGATCTATTTCAGTTGTAATTTGGACAGTTCCTACTTTGACATACAGATCAACAGGAAATGAAAGGAGAAAGAAAAAGAGAAAGAAACTTAGAGAAGGAAGGAGATATGACTATAATGGAGAAAAATTCAGATATTAAAAAGGTTAAGGAAGAGAAGGATGGAAAGTAAAATACATGCATTAATGCAAACTTGACATTCTGTGATGGTGTTTTTCCTAGGACTGCTCAAAGATACTGTGCTAAATAGTCAAAACAGCTTTAAAAAAAAAGGGTTAGGGCTTGAAGGTCCTGCACTGGAAGTAGTCTCCTACTGCAGGTCCCAGATAGATGAACATTTGCATTTTCAGTGATGCATTTTCCCTAAAATACTGTCATTTGGCAAGAATGGAAGCACCACCACTTTATACATTTGTGAAAATATTATGCTCTTCAGGCATATTATGCTCTTCAGGCATGTATATACATAAACTCTTTTACAGTTAGAATAGTTCCCTGATCTGGACTGTTATCTTCTGGGTGCTGCCACTAAATAAACACACAGAAAAGTGAACAACTCTGCCTTCTCATAGGACTTACTCTGAACATAAATTACAAATCTCTGCATTGTCTAATCCAGGAGGTATTGTATGCTAACCACATACATTCCATCCATGAAACACTTTCTTTTATTCTATTTGCTTAAAAATGTGAAAAACGTGCATGTTATTTTAAGAATATTGCTATGCAGTCTCGAGGCATGATAGCAGAGCAGTTAAGGTGTTTCGGTATGGCTCCAGATGTATGAATTCAAGCCCTGCTGTGGACTTAAGCTAAAGGATTCCCCCTGCCCCAGTCAAACTATGTATAAATGGTTACTTGGTCATACAAGCTGAGGAGTCGAGCAGCTGGAAGTGACAGCTTGCTACATTGTTCTCCTGTGCCATTAGGTACAGCAATAGGGGTGCTCTTACCTGGCCCTTTTCTCTTTCATGCTCCTGATGAAGGGTTTGTACTCTAGAAGTCCATTTACTCTCCTATATAAAGGAAATCAATGTCAATTTTCACAATTTTATTTGTATAAAAATTGGTTAGTAACAACCTTAAAGTAGAGAATGTGCCTGAAACGACTAAAATTTTAAAAATTCAGTAAATGCTTATTCATTACTTAAAACAGCACTGAAGTGCCTCACATGTTTTAGTGTCATTAGGTTATTAAACATCCTGGAAGTATTATATTTGTTCATAGTAACCTTGATTTATATATTTGGGCAGCCAAAAAGAGAAGACTATGTGGAGCCAGGAAGAGGAGAACAAGCCAAAAGCTGCATGTCTCAGGGGCCACATCTACACATGTGCTTTACTGCGGAGTAGACTATTGACTGCAGAGTAAAGCGTCACTGGGCACATCTACATGAGACACTTTACTGCACAGAAAACTAATTTACTGGGCAATAAGCATCAACGTCTACACGTGTAGATGTTTACTTCACAGTAACTACTCCTTGTTTAGTTTGCTATTTACAAATGCAGTTAGCAAATTAACTGTGGAGTAGTTACTGAACAGTAAGGCACGTGTAGACGGCAGACTGGAAGCAAATTTGCTCCCAGTCAGCTAGGCAGCAAAGGGCAGAATTTCCAGGGGAAGTGACTCTTCTCATCCCTGTGCCCCAATCATGAGGCTGGGAAAGAACTGTGGGGAAGGGACAAAGCATGGAGCTGGCTGGGACCTGCCCCAGATGGGGACAGGTCCTGGCCAGCCATGGAGAGGCCCCATTGGGCACAGAGCTTGTCCCCATGTGGATGGGGTGGGAGAGCTCTGCAGCAGCAGCTCTCTCACCCCGTGCACATCAGGACCCCTCTTGATGTGTACAGGGCCAGGAGACTGCCATCTCCTGGCTCTGTGCTCCCTGCCAACCCCAGGGCTAGCACCTAGGGAAAGCCTGGAGCTCTCCCTGGCTGCTGCAGGGAGGCACAGCAGGGTGGGAGCAAATCTGCTCCCAAGAGGGAGCACATGTAGATGTGCTCCCCAGTATGCTTACTGTGCAGTAAGCCTACTTCAAATTAACTGCACATGTAGACACGCCCATTGGCTATACATGTGATAGTATTAGGCCATAGTAAACTAATCTATACTGCAGCAAGATAGTACTGTGGGGGACAGTTCTATCTTAGCTGAGGTAATTAAAGTGCAATTAAACGCATATGTAGGTGTTGACCATGGGTATAAACTGTAGCAGGTTAGCCCAGCCAGCAGCGGGCCAGAGTACTACCTGCCATCTAGCCACACAGCTTCGCACTGTCAGCACCCTCGTGCCCCAGGCACCCCTCCACCACTGCCACCGAAAGCCTGGGGCTGTGCCCCCTGCCAGCCCAGGCCTGCTCTGCCCCAGCCCAAATTGCTGCCGTCCCAGGTGCACGGATTCTGCATCCAGGAGTAGTTTACTCTTGTTCAAACTCCTTCCGAGTTTATTGCTCTGCATTAATTGCACACGTAGATGCGCCCAGTGCGATAGATGCTGCCTTGGAAGGGAGAGGGTATTGGTTTCTCACTGGGCCCCTGATCCCAATGCGACAGAAACTTTCACAGTGCTGTTTAGCCATTTTAACTGAAGAATAATAAATCCAAGGTGCACCAGGCCAGCTTCAAGAGAAGTGTTAGAGAGAGGGATCTGGGCAAAGCCTAACCTATGGCTCCCTGGTTAGAGCACTTGGCTAGAAAGCAAAAGACACAGGGTCAAATCTTTTCTGGTTCAGATCAGAAGTGTAGGGCAGGAAGTTTTCCACTGCTTTATTTTTCTGTGGGAAATTTTCCATTTCCAAAAAGTCATTGTTTCAAAGAATTCGTTAGTAACAATGAATGGATGCCAATACAATATTAGGCAAGCTTGGCAGTTTCAAAGTTATAATTAATGTTTTTCAGATAATTATCCCTAGGAAGTGTGAGAGAGAGAGTACATATATCTTTTATTGATCTGTAAACGGGAGGGTAAATACACTCACATAATAATCCAAACCAAAAATCAAGGTATGAAATCACCCTATTGGCTGTGCAGGTCAAATCAAAACCAAAGCTAAAATTCTTATTTCATCTCAGGCTGCAAGTGAAAGGAAAACCCAAACTAAACCTGTGATTAATTTTTGTTTCACTTTCAGTTCAGCAAGTGCACAGAGCTATGCCTCATTTCTTTCCTTGAGTTGGGGGAAGTTGGAAGTGTTTGTATAAAATCTGTTAGTTTTTTAGTGCTTTTGGCTTGAAATAGTCATAATCATGCCTAATCAGAAAAAAAATAGCATGTGGCATCATTATAGTGAAGTTCAAGCTATTGAAAGAAGGAAGAAAGCTGGTAGATGTAAATACAGCAGGCAGCAGTACGCTAACAACGCAACAAGAATGAAGAAACATTTAAAAACATGTAGAAACTGTCCTGAAAGAATACAAGCCATGCACAGAAAGCTAATGCAATGAAGTGGTGAAGCAACATCATCTAAGAAAAGTCTACATCAGGAATCCTATGTAAGTAAACAAATTAATATGTTAAACAACACACAGTATACACTAGCATCTATATTGTTTTGGAACATTATAATTTTAAAAGTTGTTAATGCAACTCCGGACTTTTATTTATTTAAAATATTTATATCCTGTTTTTCTGCTTGCACTAAGCACCCAAAGTGACTTAAGCTTAACAATATATTTTTTTAAAATTACATAATAGATAAATAGCTAACTATTTCAACCCAACAGAGCGAGCTTAGTCCTCTGGCTGATGGCAGAGGCCAGACTATACTTCTCTTTGGTTCTGCAGCCCCAGGGCAACTGAGCAGCAAGTTGAGCAGCAGAGTACGCTTTCTGGCAGGGAGGGGAGAAGCAAGCTCCCTGCCGCTTTTCCTTCTCTTTCTGAAGGATGAGGCCAGAGTAGAATAGGCTAAAATAAAAATCTCTCCCCCACCCCCATTTTGTTGCAGGAACTTGGTAGCTCAAATGAAACAGCAGATTTGCAAAAAATGGAAAATGAAAATGTTGAGCTGCCAGGTCTGGAAGAAGAAGCAGGATCCTCGCTTTCAAGATCACTGTCACCAGATATGCAATCCACCATGAGTAACTGTTCAAGACAGTCAACCTTTTTCTCAAGCTTTGTGGACAAAATATCAAAAGAAGATCAAGAAAAAGCAGATGAGATATTAGCTAGAGCTATATTTGCAGGTGGTATACCTCTTTCCATAACTGAAAATCAATACTGGAAGGAACATTACAAACTAATTCACCCGTCATAAAAGTTACTGTCACATTATCGCTTATCACATTCTCTCTTAGATAGAGAGTAAGACAGAGTTCAAACAATGATTATTCAAAGGATTGGTCAAGCAGAATCACTGACTCTGATGTCAGATGGATGGACTGATATACAAGGAAATTCTTTATCGAACATTATGTTAGCAACGCCTGAACCAATATTCCTGAAAACAATTGCTACCAAAACCTTCTCGTCATACAGGTGAATACATAGCCAAATTACTGAGTGAAGAGATTGAAAGTGCAGTTTCCTCCAGGGTACAAGCCACCCTTGTAACTCATAAGGCAAGCAACATGAAAGCTGCATGGCAAATATTAAAGGAAAAGTATTCCTCATTTAATTTGGCTGTCTTGTTCATGAGTTGAATCTTCTGGCAAAGACATAGTAAGTGTGAATACAATGAAGACAACATTGCAAACTGCAAAGCGATTGTGAAGGTATTCAACAATCATCATTTTGCTAATCAGACTTTGAAGAAATTACAGAAAGAGAAGCAGGGGAAGGAAAGTGCACTTTTATTGCCAGGAGAAACTAGATGGGGCTTGGCTACAAAGCGTTTACATAGTTTGCTGTGCACAAAGAACTGTTTGAAGCGTGCTTCAATATATGACGCAGTATCCCAGATTATTCCCATGAATATTTGTAAGCAGATTCTCAACAACGATGTGTTCTGGATTAGAGTTCAAGGAGCATTCAATTTGGTACTACCAGCTTCAATGGCTAATCAAAAAACTTGAAGGAGATGCACCAAGCCTTTCAAATATTCCAGAAGTATACAAACAACTGAATGAAAATCTAATCAAGCTTTTGCTTTCTTTACTTCTATTCAAAAAAGAAGATGTAAAACAAATGTTTACTAAGAGATCTGAGTTTTGCTCTCATCCAGTTCATCTGGTAACAAACCTTTTCGATCCTCAACACAGAGGACAACATTTATCAGAAGATGAATTATCTACTGCTCTTGATACAATTATGGAAGTAGCTAAGAACGTCCCCAATATCGACAAAATAGCCGTGATGATAGATATTGCTGAGTACCATGCAAAAGAAAAACTCAAAGACATCATTTGCTGGGCAGCAGAGAATATGTCTCCTCTCACAAGGTGGAAGGGATATTGTAACACCCGACTGTTGTCCAGGATTGCTTTAAGGATCCTAAGCATTCCACCAACAACAACTCTTCCGAACAGAACTGGAAAGCTTTCAGCTCAATTAAGACAAAAAAGAGAAACAGACTAACAAATGAATGCACTGCTAAGCTTGTTTCTATTTCTCAACATTTCTTGCTTCTGGAGAATGTCAGAAGCACAATTAGTGAAGAAGATGCAGCATGATAAGTTGTCCTTGCCCATAGACTCATGGGTAAAACTATCCTTTAGCAAAAGAGAATGCGGTTCAATTTGCTTCAATCTGATTCTGGAATGGAACTCATAAATAGTGCGAGTGATTCTACAGCTAGTGACAGTGAAACTGGAGATGGTGCAATGACTTCAGTGGAAGGGAGTTAAACTTTGTTGAAGTAGATGAGTGGACAGCCACAGCATATCATGCACAGTTCCTTGGGGTATGCTAAAATTAGTGTGTTAACAGTTTTCAGAGCCTTCATTTTTTTTTCTTAAATTTAAACAAACGATGTAAGGGAAGTACATGCTCCTCTGTATTGTCTTTACATTTTTACAAGTATTCCAATAAAAATAATTTCTTTCCACATAAAGCTTTGAATATAACATTTAAACCACATTAAGTGTGCTGTATTTAATTTTTTTCCTAATCAAATATTTCAGTTCAAATACTTGTGGCTATTGGGACACAAAATTAACATGGTGGTACTTATTTAGTTGGGGTTTTTTTTACTAAATACAAGTCAAATAAACATGCTAAATCAGATCACGCTCTATTGGAATTCAAAATTTTCCAGAAAACCCAGGTTTCTGGTTCAAACCCTAAAACCTGGACCTCCTGCTTCTTGCACTAATACCCTATTCACAGGACCTGACCCCAGTGTGGAGGGTTGGCTGGGGTTGGTGCAGGACCCCAGAACCCAACCATGGTACGCAGGACCAAGCAGAGACAGTACAGGGCCCTGGACCTTGATCCTAGCACATGGAACTGGGTAGGGGTAGCACAGGCCCCCAATTCTAGCATGAGGGGCTAGATGGAGCTAGCATGAGGACGCAGAACCCAGTCCCAGTGGGCAGAGGTGGCATGGGACCTTGGAGCCAATCCTAGCAGGCAGAGGAGGTACAGGGCCCCCAGAGTCCAATCTTAGTGTGCAAAAATCTTACCTGGTCTAGAGACTGGCCTTGCACCACTCATCTGGCCTATGGGACCAAAATGTTGTGACCCACAGTTGAAACCCCTGTGTTAGAATACAACTCGTTTTTCATCATGTTACATCATGTTTTGATCATTAGAGCTACTTCTCATTTTTCAATTTTTAAATGTATTTAACCAAAGCAGCCTCCAGAGGCAGATGTAAATGGTTTATTTGGCTTCGACCACTACATTTCTTTCAGAGTATATTGGTCACAGCTTAGTATCCAAGTCAAGTGCATCTAATGCCCTCTTCATGTCATGATAAGAAACATTTTCATTACAGAAATTATTAATGGTACTTAGTAGATAGCCGTAAATCAGAAAAGAAACAACTACTTTAGAAAATAAGAGTTACAGAAATTCTTATTTGTTGAAATACAAACAGAGACTAATTAGTGAACCTACCTGTTTTTCAAGAAGTCGCATCATATTTTGATAATCCTGAGTACTCTGAGATTTATCTTCTGTAAATTCTTGGCTGTCTTTTAAAGTGCCTAGATTGGATTTCAGCTGCATATTGGACTGCTGTAACTCTAAGAGCTGCTAAGAGAGCGGGAAATGTATGTTAAAGGCCAGTGCCAGCACATAATAAACAAATGTTACTGTAGGTTGCCATTTAATATGCAGTTTACTTTAAAAAGAACTGTACAGATTCTCCTTATAAACACTTCTAAATAACAGATATACTGTGAATGTTGGGATGCAAGTGTGAGAATAGCACCAACACAAGAAAACAGCTCTACTACTTTCATGTGCATTACTTTTCTGACTTGACTATATTCTCACAATTTTTCCTCTAGACAAACCTCCAGGAAATACTTCTTTTGATATTAAGAAAGCATCCCATGCCATTCTACTCCTTTAGGACTTCCCTAGGAAGGCTATTCCTTTTCACTGAAGCTTATGCTCTCTTTATTTTGTAGATGCCAAAACAGACACAAATAATATGTTATTAACCAATTCCAAAACAAGAACTCAGAGATCAAGACAGAAGGGAATACCATTTATAGATCTGGCAGTCCAAGTGGCAGCCTGTGGGCCACATGCAGCTCGTTAAGGGTTACTTTGAGGCCCCTGGGTTCACACCCAACCCTCCCCTTGTCCCTCCCCCACACACCCCTGACTGCAGTAGCAGCAAGGGTCTCTGCTCTTCCACTCTCTCCTCTGACTTCTTCTTCCTGCCCTGATCCCAGGGGACAGAGTGGTATGGTGCAGCACAACCCATAGTGCCATGGACAGGAGCGCATGGCATGGGGTTCCCAAGTAGCACAGTGTACCAGAGAATCCTGAGGCTAGGGAGCTGAAGGTGAAGCCAGGGTATCTGTATGCACAGCGTAGCAGGGGAAGGGGTGTGCCTTTGAGGGCCAGCGGCTTGCACTGGCACAGCTCACAGGCATGCAGCCCCCACCTGCTTAGAGTTTAGACCCCTGATAAAGATTATAACCATACTTATGTCACTGTAACAGGGGGCCTGCTCAGGGCCGATCTTGCCGTGGCCTGCCCACCTGTTCTTGGGCCAACCGCCCGCGTTCTCGCCCGCCATGCCTTGCTGTTATAATTAATTAGTAGATATTAATAAGGGGGAGGCTGCCCATTTCCTGCCCCAATGCCAGGGGGCGCTATCTGCAGCTCCATTCCTCCCCTAAACCACAGCCCAAGCCTCGCAGATGGCATCTAGATGTTCTCATCGTCACTGGCTCCCACACTGGGCCCCAGAACCCTACTATTGAACCCCACCTGGATTCCTCCCTTCAGGCGGACTCTTCCGCCGTCATACCAGGTACCATAGCTCCCTGAACTGATCCCCCTTCGGGTGTGATTCCCCCTGGGACCTTTGGCTCGCTAGCCCTGACCCACCTCCAGGCCAGTAAGAACCCCAGGCCCTCAGCTCTTGGGCGTTCCTCGCAGTGGGCCCCCGGCCCTTCGACCCTTCCGGTCCTGGCCCCAGCATGGGCCAGTCAGGGGGGAGTTCAGATAGGCCTGAGTCTATGGCCCTTTTCTCACTCTCCAAGGGTCCACCCTCCAAACAAGGGGTAACCCACCCAGTTGTGGGGGCTAGGTGTTAAGATGCCCCGACCCGCCTTTCACCAGGGTGGCAACTGGCCTGGTATTTCCTGGGGGCTCCCGTGCCACTGAGAGCCCCACCAGGCCGCCCACTCCCAGCAGGGTGCAGTTTTAGGTCGTACCCAGGACCAGAAGCCTCCTGACCATCCCCTACAGCTCCTCCCTTACCTCCAGATGATATCAGCAGCTTTCCAGCCAGGCGATGTTGTTGCCTGGCCCTCCAGCAGCAGAACTGCCCTGTTTATATGGGCAGCCCCTGATCCAAAATGGTTGCCCTCATCAGGCACCTGCCAGCTGCTGCCTTCTGGCCCTTAAAGTGGCAGGCACAAACAGTGCCCTGCCACAGTCATCTAATAAATTTTAACGTTTCAGAGCAAACTAAGGCATATGGTAGGTTTCAGATGAACTGAGATCACTGAATCGCAGATCGTATTTACAAAAAATCCATATTTAAATTACTTACATGTTCTAAGCTTGTATTTCTTGAAGCTAGTTCTTTGAATTCTTGCATAAACATCTCTTTCACTTTTTCTATTTCATTAGCCAATTTTTCTTTTTCTTCCTCTTTCCATTTATAAAATGCTTGCAGTATTTCTTCTTCTTTTGATTTTTGTTGTTCGCATTCCTGAAATTATTTTAAAATCTTACTTGAAGAATTGTCTCACATGAAATATAAATGTGAATCTCAAAAGAGGAAACAATTATACTTATATTCTCCAAATATTAATGTTTATTGGGCAATACCACAACATCAATTTTTAAACAAAAAAACTTTCCCACTAGAATCAGTTGTTTTCTAAAAATCACGCTAAAAAAACTCCACATGCTCGTTCAAAAAAAGAAATTTTGCTTGCACCATATTCACCTGTTAATGTTCAACCTCTAATTACTTGTTTTGTACATGTTACTACTACTGTCTTGAATATATCAGAATAAAGTTATGGGAAGTTCAACCTAAAAACTGTCAGCATGAGAACAGCCCACTGATTTCAAACATACTGAAACATGTAAGAATTAGAAAAAAAGAACAATGTAAGGCAACAAAGTCTAACCAAGCTTCATCATATACACAACTCTTAAGACATGGTCACACTACACAGTCCAGTTTATTAACGTGATAATGAAGCAAACTGCAATCCATTATCCTAATGAAAAAGTAGGGAATCAATCCAACATGGACTGCAACAAGTCACTCAAATTTTTGGGAAAAAATAGCAATTTTAAAAGACTGAACTAAGCAGGGCACCTTAGCTTAGTAAGTCTAGCTGCCCCTCATATAAATGGACAAGAAAAAGGGTCTTGGAGGTTCACCCTTGTTAGCATCATTGTTTTGAATACAGCATCAGGGAAGTAGGGAACAACATCTACTTGTTGTTCAGTGCTTAATGTATACTGAAATAAGCTGGTAGGCTCAACTACCAGTATGTGCCAGTGAACAAATGTGCTTAACACATGCTTCTAAACAGATGTGTAACTGGGTGCTGCTTGCTCGGCTGTGGCGCACAGACCAGCATCAATGGCTACCGCAAGGGTCCTGCCAGTACAGCAGCTGCTGATATTTTTGCACCACCCCGCAAGGATTTGTTAGATATAGATGAAATGGGGGAAAACCCCAAAAGGATTGGACATTCCCTGCCTTCTGGCAGATGTCATCCTGGAGCTTCTCCTCAGAAATAAGATCCTCTACTTCTTCCTTCATGAGATCTGAATGATGCTAGGGGGCCTCGGGTTATTCCCTTACTATTAGTAGGGCCCCCCTCGCCGCACAAGCCTCCAATGCAGAGTCACTTCTTTTGCCACTTGGTGTGCCTTGTCAGGATTACCCAAAGAGTGGGAGAGGAACCAATATACAGCAAGCAGGACATAACCTTCCCCTGTAGGGAACAGTGGTGTTGCCCAGGAAGACTTCTTGCCTCACGCCACTGATATTTTTAGCCTTTTCCTACAGCTTGTCCTGCTGTATGTAAAGTATGGTGCCTTCAAATGGCCGGAATAACTTAATTGTTATCACCGAACAAAGAAGGAGCCAGGTGCAATGACACCATTAGAGACAGTGGGGAACTGACTGCCAGCTTGCAGAAGGAGTTGGCATCAGAGCCAAAACCTTCCTACTATATTGGTTGTCATCTGTCAAACTGACAGCAGAGACGACACAGACTGGGTACATACATCAACACAGAATGGATACTGTCACCTATAGGAAATAAAGCTGAACCTCTCACAACAGACTATTCCTACTAGGGCTGTGCGAAGCTTCAGTAGCTGATTCGATTCGGAGAGGATTCGGCCCAATTTGGGCACCAAATCTCCAAATCCCAATCAAACTGAGAGACCAATTAAGAGCTCTGAATCAATTTGAAACATCCAAATCGATTTGGAAAAGCTTCAGAAAAGTTTCATCCACTTTGGAGATTTGGCCATAGACTGAACAGGCAGCTGACACAGCTGCCTCCAGCTGTAAGCCTGTTGGAGCTGGGGCAAGCTGCCCAGCTGGGGCAGGGGGGGTGCGTTACTCAGGGAGGGGAGCATGGGGGGCTGTGGGATGTGGGTGCGGCAGCACTGGGAGCAGGGGCTCTGCCCTGCTGCCACTTGCCCAGCCAAGGCGGGGGGTGTGGGATGAGGGTGCAGCTCGCTCCAGGAGGAAGGGAGCAAGTGGCAGCAGGACAGAGCCCCTGCTCCCAGTGCTGCTGTTTCTACAACCCCCCCCCAGTAACGTGCGCTCCCCGCTGGCATAGCCACCGCAACTCCCCGCACTGGGGCAGAAGCTGGCACAGCCAGAGGAGCCACGGGAGAAGCCCCCCATGACTGTCCTGCCCAGCCCCAGCCCCCGCCCAGCCCAGCCTTCCAACACTTTTAAAAAAGCCCTGCACTTACTGGCTCTGGCAGCAGCCATCCGGGCCTCTGAGGGCTCATGGCAGAGGCCCCCTGCACAGTGTAGGGCAGTGGGGATTGCCCCCCACCCCGGCCTGGCACCCGTACAGCAGCTGCCCCATGGCACGGGTGCAGCATGGCTCGACACGGTGCTGTGCACCGTCTGGGAGCTGGGGTGGCTCCACGTGTCAGCCGGAGCCTGGAAAGCTCAACCCCAGAGGCCCTGGCTTCCAGGCAGTGCACAGTGCCCTGCCGGGCTGTGCTGCACCTGCACCATGGGGCAGCTGTTGCATGGGTGCCAGTTAGGGGCGTGATCCCCGCTGCCCTCCACTGCGCAGGGGGCTCTGCCACAAGCACTCAGGGGCCCCAATTGACACTGCTGCAGCTGGTGAGTGTGGGGCTTAAGAAAAAAAAAAGAAAAAAAGAAATTGATTCAGGGCAGTGATCCAAATCTCCCAATCAAATCACTGTCCTCTGAATTGCCCAAATTCGAATCTGAATTGAATACTTCCCTATTTGCACAGGTTTAACTCCTACTGCTTCTGTCAAGAGAAAGGTTTCCAGGTGCCTTGTTGATACAGCTAAATGGACTTTCTTGCAGTGATATGAAGTTATTCACAAATCAGGTTTTCCTTTACTTGACTCAATTTCCCTGTGTTTTACACACAAACATGATTTTATTGGATTACTCAACATACTTGCCGTTGCTTCAAAGCAATGCACGGAGGATTGAACAGTTAATATTTGTGGGGTTTCTTATGGTTCGTGAAAGATTTATCTAAGCAAATGACAGCATGTAATCCAGTGCATATCGGGAGCATTATTAAAAGCAAAGTCCCGTGTATTCTGCAGTAAATTTGAACTAAATTCTGCAGAGAAATCTACTTATTTCTCAAATATGACTTACTACATACTGTGCTGCAGCTTCAAGTACATTATTTTTTAAAGCATGTTTTTTTTAAGTAAGTATGGAAACACACCCAAACCAACTAATCAGTATAACTGGGTATTAAAATGAGTTTATGTTATGCTCTAAAATAATGGATTTTTCTACACAATGCCGAATTTGTACTAAACACACAAAACTACATTCTAGAAGTTACAAGGGAAAACAAATGTTAAAGAAAGACACGTGGTGATTTGGGCACTCAGGAAGGCAAAGGAAATAGTTTGGGATTGTGAGATAAACATATGATAATAGGAAACAGTTCATAAGAATGTTTTAGACAGCATGAGGTTTCAGAACTGAGTACAGCAATTCCCACCACTCTAAAAGCAATCATTTGAGTCTCCAGGCTCAGGAATCCTTACCACCACAGATGCACACTTAAATTAAAAAGTTCAATTGCAATGAAAAAGTTAGAGTTGTTTTTTTGTAGGGAATCAAGGAAGAACTTGAAAGCTTAAAGTCTTTAAGACCTTTTGTAGCAAACAGTGCATCTGTAAAATCTTGAAAGTGTACAGGGTAACCTGTTAAATAAATGTAGAAGTAATGAATTTATTGCCAACACTTTGTGAAAAAATATACAATTAAAAATACAAACATATGAATTAACTACTGGAGAATAGATAGTTCAGAAAGTTAGTATGAGAGCCTTTCATACGTGGGTTACCTGTTTCAGGTTCCCAGCAGACAAAAATTGAGGAATTTCATCCTGGATCCCAACAATCACATTTGTTGCCATGCCAGACATTCAAGGCCTGACATGGCAAGACATGTGATTGTTGGGATCTGGGATAAAATTCATCAGACCCCATCACACATTTGCCAGGGTGTGCAGCTGGCTGCATTTGTGCCAGGGCATGAGGAGGTTTGGATGAGGAGCTCCCCAATCCCTAGCACACATGCAACCGTGTACCCTGAAGTGGTGCGCATGCAGCTCAGGACCGAAGAGCTCTCCACAGACCTGTCAACTCAGCATTGGACTACATGGCACAGCTTTAAACTGCTCCACCCAGGGAGAATCCATCAGGTCTCCATGCCAGGACGTTTAAAGCACACCATACACCTTGATGCTGGGCTGCATGCCACACTCTGAAACTAAAGTGGGATACAAACCAGTCACAAAGATGTTTCATGTTAAATGTGAAACCACTGTGTGGCTGGTTTGCCATTTTATTACACTACAAATTGGCTGACAGTGTGGTGTGTTTCAATTTATCACATGATTAACATCTTAATCACACAATTGATAAGTATACTGTCTGCCAGGGTCCTCAGTTCACCAGTGGTATTTCTGACTAAAATCTTCACTGGATACTTGGTAACCTCTGGAAATATTCCTATCCCAAGTGGACAAGAAAGGCAAATCATAGGATTACCATCATTACTAGTAGCATAAGGTGTTCAGAAGCATTGGTATAGTCTTTTCATGAGCAAAATTAAGCGTGAAATAGTCAGGATTTAAATGCTAACACTGAAAATGTGGCCCCAACTCCATTTCTTTATAGCAAGGCCTTCCTGTTTTCCTTCTCAGTTTTCTTCTGTCACTAGCCTTTATTTTTAAATACTGATTTTTTTTCCTGTAAATACCAGGTTTTACTACTAGAATAATACTCTTTGTTCAGTTTGGTATTCATATTTATCTTACCAATAGACTGAACTAATGAGGAAAAAATGGTGGGGGTGAGGAAAAGAGGAAAAGCAAGGCCCACATCAGGCTCTAAAGAGGTCCACATTCACTTATTAAAAGCTATCTACCTGCATAAGAAAAAAGTTAATTTATTCTTGCTCACTCCCACACACATAGACCCACTTGCCCAGCCCTCCCCTGTTCTCATGCTCTTAATTTGTTGACACTCTCAGCTTTATTGCCCAGACTACACATATTCAGTCTCAGAGTCTCTGCTCTCACTTTAAACTCTGTTTATATTGTACCCATCACTCCGAGGTCTGGGAATGTAATAAGGACATGGGGCTGTCTGCATGAGACAGGAACTGGGAGCATGAGAATCCTGACCCCAAACATCTCCAGGAGGCCAAGAATAGATTTCCCTGAAGGATGGGGAGGAGAGTTACTCTTCTCTGGTCTTTGACTAAAGAAAGGAGATCCGATATGATAGCAGAAGTTAGTCACAAGACGCTGGTTTCAGATAGCCAATTCTGTTGGTCTAAGGATATAGGCAGACAAGGTTCCTTGGGTGAATTTGATATCTTTTATTAGACCAACAGAAGCTCCAGAAACTTTCCGCTGCATGACACCATAAAGTAGCTTCCAAACTTTTCCGAGAGCTCCCTAGCAGTTGCAAAACCCCTGCTAAGATCAGTGGGTAGCTTCAAAAGGTGTCTATCATGCAGCTGGACTTTCAAGGACTGGCATAAGATTCTTTCTTCAACAATTTAGGGTCGAAGCGTCATCTTTCTGAGAACTAGGACCATACTATACTAGAGTTTTTTCACAGCTTTCATTAATTTTTTTAGACCTAACAGGTTCCAAAATATCTTGGCTTCCCACTGGCATACTACTGGCTACAAGACTAAGGCAATGCTTTCATTTCCATTAGTGTTTGACCTAGAGACCCAGTATAGTACAGACAGGAAGATGTGCACAGGAGATTCATATTAAAAGATGGGTAGCAATAAGTACTTTCCCCAAGGAGATTTCTCAGTGAAAAAGGACTAAATATCATAGCTGCTCTGAAACAGATTATTCTGAATCTTACTTCTAAAAATTGGAGGTTAAGAGACAGTTAAAGACTACATTTTGTCCGATTTTAAGGGTATAGTTAAGAAGTCTTATTTACAACATCGTGTTCCATATATTTGGCTAATCTTAATTTTTCCTCACTGCCAGAGATGGTTTTCTTTCCCCTTCTGATAACAAAAAGCAGCTCTTCATGTGGTTTCCTTTAATGGGATCAAACATAGCTACAGAACAGTGAAGAACCAAGGGAGCCCTTGATATTAGAAGACTTCTTCCATAACAAAGATCCATGAGCAGGGGGAAAATAATCACAGCCTTAAGGAGCCTGCATAAGGAATTAAGAGAAAACAACAACAACACCACAAAAAAAAACCACAACACAAACCCAGAACACCAAAGGGACTCACAGCTGCTATGGATGAATGGGGAACATAAGCAAGCATAGAAAAATCCACCTCAGCTGAATAAACTTCCAAGCATCTGTTCCACTGGTCCTGTTATGCTGCTACATAAAGAAGGGCCATTAACTCCCCAGTATGAAGGAACAGGCAGGGACAGGAAGCTCAGGCAATGTGAATCAATGCTAAAAACAATTATAGCAGCATCTTTCCACAAGTGCTTACTCCCTTACAAACAGCTTCCTGAAATCCTTTCAGAGCCACAAGTAATACTCTACCTAGGTCTTCTATTAGCATTAGGCCTTTTTTCAACATCAGCTGAAACATGCAGTCTGGCCAGAAAAATAACTGTCAGGTAAGCATGGGCTTAAGCATGGGTTAAGTCCTTCCTTTGCTGCCTCTTAACAGAAAAAACAATGGCTTTTAGTGTAAGATTACCAGTAAAATTAAAGGAAGTTTATGACCATGAATGTAGGAGAAAATTATCAAAAAGCTGAAGATGGGGAAAATTACAAAGCAATTTAAAAATGTATTTCAATTCATAAAAGGGTGAAGAAGACAGCATACTGTCTAGGTAGATATAGTAATGAATGCACACAAAAATAATAACTACTGCTAAGTGGACTCTGATAAAATATCACCATCTCTTTTGGGTAGCTGATGGATTGGAGAGTGTGAAAAACAGGTGGGTTGGTTATGAAAGGAAAGGAACATGGAGACTTCAAGCAGGAGAGGGGCTAAGCGGAAAGAGAAATACCGCATACTTTGTGTAAAAGTGGGTTTTCCTTAGCAGTAAAGAAGAAGAGGGTTAGACAGCTAGAGTTATGTTTATTCTGATTAAAATGTTGAGTGATTCTTTCAAAATTAACAGTCAGCAGCAGAGTAAATCAACGTGGTGTTTGAAAAGTTCTGCTGGTCCCTTGAAAGAGAATAGTTAGTTGCCTGAATGACTAGATATTTACAAGCATGTGGAGAGAAACTTGCTATAAGAAAAAAGGTTATGTTAGCAATCTGGAAACACTGGGGGCAGCACGTTTGCCCAGAAGCCAGACAGTCCATTTTAGACACCTTTCCTGAGTGTTTAGTTGGTTTTAATCGGTTCAGTTAAATGAATACTTTTGTCTCTTTTCTGTGGGATGTTCTGGACAGGTGTTTCAAACAATACAGTCCTGACAAAAAGAAGACTGTTCCCACCCTCCCCATCCCATTCTTTGACTAAATACCAGATTTGGGGACAGCTGAATGAAACAGAGAACAGGAACGAAGTGTCTGTTTTGTAATCAGAAAAATATTTCCAGGATGCTTCTTATGTGTAGAATTTCATTGCCAAAATAATCTCTGAGACCTCTACTCTCTCCTCTATAATTTTTCCTACAATCCACCTCCAAGACTGTTGACTGTATTTAAATAGTAATAAAAATTCTATGATTCAAAATGATCAAGATGTGCAGTAGCTTAATATAACTACAGAATCGTTATTTTTGTTTTACTTACTCTCTTACCAGGAGGATCATAATGTTGTTATTACAACAACAAACACGATTGTTTGTTGTTGTAATAACTCACATTGTTATTGTCATATTACTGTAATAATAACAACAATCAAAGTAAAGCCCCTGCCTATAACTGCCATCACAGTACTATTACCCTATTATTGCTTTTAAATTATTTCACTCTAAACTTTTCTTTCATCTCTCATTGAACCTCACCAATGGCTGAGACTATGTACTGCTTTAAGGTTACTCAAGTCCTTTTGTAGACTGGTTACCAGGGATCCCGGTTTTCTCCAATTAAAAAAAAAAAAAATCCCCAATTTTCGGACTAAGAAATGTGACCCAAAATAATCCACATTTTTCCATGATTAAAATGAAACACACACACACACACACATATATATATATGGATTTGGGGTTACTTTTTTATTTAAATCTGGAAATTGGGGACTTTTTTTTTTTTTTTTTTTTAATCAGAGAAAACCAGGATCCCTGATGATCACATAGGGTTCAAATGTAACATAAAGGCTGAAGTAATAGCCCTTGCCTTGCCTCTTGTCATTCCTCCCTAAACCATTATCTCATGTGGTAGACAGTAAGTTTTTCATGATTAGGAATATTTTTGACCACTACGTGCATTTACAATGCTGTAGCTACATACCAAATCAGCGCAGTATCTATACATTAAGACCCATTTTAGCCACATAGGCACCTAAATGGGACCTAGGTGGAATATAGGTGTCCAAGGCCCAAAGAGCAATCCAGACTGGCCCTACTTCACAGTCACAAAACTCAGCAGATACTCAAATTAAGATGATATCTATTTTGGACTACAAAATTCCCTAGGTACCCAGACTTCTGAGCAGCATGCTCAGAGCAATCCGGTTTGATCCCCTATGCACTTTCCCCCACCTACCATTTACTGTGATTGATATTGGAGTTAGGGAAGCTTCTAAGTCCCAGCAGGGACAGGACTCATTAAGCATGCTGGGAACATTGAGTTTGGCTCGGAGAAGCTCAAACCTGTATTTCCCACTTTCTAAGATAGTGCCTTAAATACCAGGTTATAAAATGGGAAGGGCAGGGCATTCTAATATCCTTCCTGTTAAAATTATGCTAAAATTAAATTTTACACAAAAGTTACGAGGTCTGTGATCACAGCCCAGAATACAGATTCTTGTAAGAGGTTGGTAATACTTAGTGTATACTACCTTAGAAAATCTGACCATATTAGCATGTTGCTCGGCCTCTAGCTCAGACTTGGTGAGCTGTAACTGCTCCTTCAACTTATTGATCTCATCCTGTAATTTATCTGTCTGTGCTTTCTTCTTTTGCTCTGCTTGAAAGAAACATACATTTGCAAAATGTTAGTTATATTTTTGGGAAATGTGACTCTTCCTGCAAAGGCCTTTCTCCACTGCTTCCTCCACCTTTAAATTCTGTGGACCAGAACTCTCCTAGACCAGCCCTTTCCCTAATACCCCACCCCACCCCAAACACTTAGTTCTTGAAATAAAACATTTTCCCGACTACCAGGATGCATTCCACAGATTGAATACCACAATCTTACCAAAAATGCAACGTGTAAAAGATTCTAGTATCTTTTAGAATTTAAAATACTTTTTAAGTGTTATAAAATCCAATTTCACTTACAGCACAGGTTCAAAAAAGGAATGAAGTGGGGTTTCTGTAAGATTTATTTTGGTAAGATGCATTAGACAACATTTAATATAAGCAGCTTCTTTTATCAGTAAATGTTTAGCTTCTTTAGAGAGAGTTTGGTGGAACTTCCATTTCCAAGTTTCATTTGAAGGATTACTGTCAAAAAATTAGTTTACAATGTACGCTCAAAAGTGTAGCCTTTAATCTTAATGTGCCACTCTACCTACCTATATAATTTTTATAAAGTTCATAAATATTGGGGTTGGAAAAGACCTCAGCAGGTCATCGAATCTGACCCCCTGCCCTGGGCAGGAAAGAGCGCTGGGGTCAGATGACCCAGTCAGGTGCTTGTCCAGTCTCCTCTTAAAGACCCCCAAGGTACGGGAGAATACCACCTCCCTTGGAAGCCCATTCCAGATTCTGGCAACCCTTACCATAAAGAAGTTCTTCCTAATGTCTAACCTGACTCTACTCTGTCAGTTTGTGGCTGTTATTTCTAGTTACTCCAAGGGGTACCCTGATAAACAGAGCATCTCCTATCCCTTGCTGTCCCCCACCAATGAATTTGTAGACAGCCACAAGATCCCCTCTCTGCCTTCTCTTGCTTGTCACAGGGGTATCTTAGTACAAAGCAGGCCATCCAGGATTACCCCTGAAGAGTTGGAGCCATTGCTAATACAAAATCAGTCCTGGCTGCCTGGCTCTGCAGTTCCTCCTGTTATCTATTTTCTCTTTCCAACCTGCTACAAAGCATGAAACAGTTTCTTTCGTCCAATGATTTACCAGAGCCTTCTTATACTCCCTCCTCACGGTTTCTGGTATTTTGTGTCTCAAACTACAGTTCATATGCTGCTGCTCACACACTATTTGTGTCTCCTCACTCCCATTTCTTTTGATCCCAGCTGTTCCTCCTTTCTAACCAACTCTTCCCAAGCTACTTTGTTTTCACTGCTATCACCTTCTCTTGCTCAGCATATCTACTTGTCCTTCACCAACATTTCTCCCATGGTGAAGGATTCCAGCTCCCAGCAGCAAATGAATCATATGTTTAACCTCAGTTTAACAGTATGAAAATTATTATTTATGTTTGTAGGGGTAAGTGAAGCAAATATGTGAGGAATGTCTTTCAACTGTATATTTGTTTCTAGGATGGCTGAGAAGGCATCAAATAACAAATTCCACAAATCTATCATTCATATTACCAATAAAAAAAAACAACCACGTTTCATATATGCATCTTCCCCTATAGGAAAAATGATGTTACCAATGCATCAGCACCTATGTTCTGTGTTGTGTTCTAAGAATGTTTAGAGTTACAAGGACAAAAGCCAAGCACCTTCAACTACCTGAAGTTAACGTATCCTGAAATAACTTCACCTCCTGGTCAGGAATGTTGTTTATAAGACATTATTTTAAAATAAGATGAAAATAATGTAACATCATCTCAGGGGAAGCTAGATGAAATGGCTGCTCAGTAATAGAATTATTTCTTATAGTTGTATCATATAGTCAGGCGCAATTCTTTATGAACATGATCCAACTCTCATTGACTTCAATGGAACTGGACTGGTCCTAGTGATAACTCAATGCAGATCAGTAAAGGTTTTTTTTTTCCCCATAATGCCAGCTATTTATGCTACCTACATTTTTGTAATATGGCAAATTTTATCTACCCAAAGAAAACCATTGTTCTGAATTCTCCCACTGGCAAAAAGTGTTCCGTAAGAATTTGGTTTGAAAAGTAACTGTAAAGATGGCATAAAAATCTATGCTTATTATTGTTCAGTAATTTATATATCATATTTGATAAGCTTACATGCAAAGAAACAAATCTAATGGTCAGATATAAAAACTTGCCCTGGGATCTGTAAGTCAAATGAGCTTCTTCTACATCACACAAAATCTTGAGTTACAAGCCTAAATACATGTTCTATATTTCCATACTATTTTAACTTTTTTGACAGCATGAAAGTACATACCGGTGTGAGATTCCTCTGGATGGCGCCGCTGCATATGACTTTGTAGAAAAGAATAGTTCATAAAAGCCTTCTCACAAAATCGACACTACAAAATACAGAAAAATACCTGATATGTACATATCAACAATATCAGCTTTTGGGGGTGTCTACACGTATGCTTTAATGCCCATTAACCTATTTTAATGCACACTGAAGCATCACTAAAAAGCATGCTATTTCGTTAATATGCATTAAAACAGGCTAATGCACATTAAGCATCATTTTAAAAAACCGTGTTAATGTACATGTAGATGCGCCCAAACAATTACAAGGTAATATTTTAAATTATATTTCATCCAGACATTTAATGCCATTCTAGTACATCCAAATTCTGTCCCCCAAATTCAAATATTATCATACTGAAATTATTATTAAAAATGTTGGCACTTAGGAACCACAGTCACAGATCAAAACTCCAGTGTGCTCAGCACTGTGCAAAATAGACCAACAATATAGATTAAGTTATTTCAGACAGGATTTAAATATAAAAAAACCCAAACTGATGGGTATAGACAAGAGGGGACAAGGAAGCAAAGTGGCAATACTGATCAGAAAACAGTAGTCTCAGCACAACAATAGTCGTAACCATTGCCAAGATTTTTGTAAGAATCGTGGCAAAGGAGATCACACTAGAGACAACTAATTAAGCATTCATTTTAATGTTTAATTAAAAAATTAAAATAAAAACATCAGGATGAATTCCTCTGTAACATGAAATCAGTAGCAACTAACTAGATCACAGATATTTGGGAATGTCTGACAACTGCATCCAGCTGAAGGCAATGTAAGCCCATGGTGTGGAAAAATTTCAATGAATTTAGTAGCATTCTGTATACCTCTGGATATTGCAGTGAAAATTGGAAAGTAGTTCAAATAATAGCCCCTATTATTTATCACACTTTTAAAATAAAACATCCATCTGGCCTCAAAGTTACTATTTTAGGTTAAATTAAAATTAAACATAACAAAGCTCCATCTGGAGCTAAACCAGGCTGAAAAGAAAAATGCATGCTTCTTTCACTCTTAAATATATGGTCAGTTTCTCTCCCTCCATTAATATATATACATCAAATTTACTCGAATCCGAGATGAGGTTTTATTCCCCCCAACCAGCACAGAGGGATAAAACACCTCATCTTGGATTCGAGTACCTGCCTGGGGCAGGTGGCAACAGCAGCTCCAGTTTTAGCTTGAGCTTGGGGCCTGCAGGCTTCCCCTCTGCCTGTGCCTGCCTCTCCACCCCTTGTCCCCCTGCCCCAATACTTTCTGTTCTGGCTCCAGTCCCTCCAGCTCTAACCAGGCCCTGCCTGGAACTACCACTGCTTCTCTCTGGACAGGCCAGGGCCATGCTGCTGCTGACTGCCCCAGAGGAGTAGAGCTGCATCAGAAGATAAGGTGTCGCATGCACAGGGTGGGGGGCAGAGACAGCCACAGAAGCACAAGGGGTGGGGAACAGGCAGCTAGGGGCAGGAACAGGCATAGAAGAACAAGTGGCAGGGCCAGGCAGCAGTCATTTGGCCGGGGGGGGGGGGCGGCGCGCGGCGGCAGCATTATAAAATCTAGATGGAAAGTGGAATCTAAACATAGCCTCTTAGTTCAACTAGTTGATCTTGGAGCACAGGACAATTGCTGTGTTGTTCAGTCTTGTTTTAACATAGCTTCTACTGCTACTTTTATTAAAAGACATACTCCATTAAAAACATAAGAATGCCATTTACTGGGTCAGACCCCATAGGTCCATCTTGCCTGGTATACTGTGTCACACACTGATTGTTGTTTCTCAAACTTGGGTGTACACATCCCGGGGTGTGTGCAAGTTGTGCATACATATGCATATAAATGTATGTCTGTATGTAGACACACAAAACATTCAGCTGGGTTTTTTTATACCTGACCCTGCCTATTAACACTGTTGCTACTTTACACTCATATTTGTAAACATTTATTAAATTTCAATTCTATAAGGCTTTTTTCAATTCACCTTTAAAGAATATTCTGTGTTAAGAATAATATAAAATGGTATCGTGTGCTCTACAGCATGAGCGAAATGTACAGGTGTTGAAATGTACTGACTCACTGAGAATCTAAATATCCCATTTGTAGAAGATTGACCAGTATAGAACGCCAGCATATATTTCAAAACACAGAAATATCCTTGAAAAAGCCAGAACTGGACTGTCACAATGATGAGTAAAAGACAATTTAAAACTCATTCAGCAGATTCAAGATGTTATCATTTTAGTCAAATTCCCAGCTCTCATCTAATATTTAAATTATTTTAGTGATAGACAGTATACTATTAAATATATATGTCTTGCAACTCCCACCAAGGCCATGAATTATTAAGCTACATTTTGTTGCATAAATGCAAGAAAGTCCTAATATAAAGTCTAGATAGAGAAGATACAGTACAGCAACAAAGCAAAGAACCATCAGGGATCTCTTGCACTGTAACAGATTATGCATGATTTCTGGTATCAAATTGGCTGTGAAATACTATTATCCATTCAAGCACAAAACTCATGTCAGTCTGACTTGGATATAGTAGAAGCAAGCTCTTACTTTCAAGACAGGATCAACACATAGAATTGTAATTCTCTGTTCCTGTTACTGACAAAATGTGTGACATCAGATTCCTCAAATTATGCTTTACGGTATTATATGCAAAATAAAAAAAATATGTAATCAATTGCAAGTCAAGTCCAGTATACAATTTTCTGGTTTCACTCAGCCACTTGAAGTCCATATGCACAGATCTAGTTATATTTGCATTCTAAATGCAATAGGAGGATTATTTGTTTTTTTGCTGCATTTACAGAAAAGCAATAAGTGATTGGTTTTCATTGTCACCCCAAATCAAATACTTTGGTCAATCAAAGCATCCAGAAGCTGCTACATGCAAAGTACATAAACAGTTTGCCTTAAAGGCCCCTATTTTTCAGCTGAGACTACAGGGGAGCCTTTTGCACCTGCACTGTATTCCAATGAAGTCCATCCACTAGGATATAACAACTGAATAATTGGGGCACAAATGCAAAACATGACAAATACCATGGCTTATCATTAAAAATAAGGTAATTTGGGAAAAATATGCATTTATTTATTGGATTAATGGAGGTTTAAGTTATCCCAAGTCAAGATATCTTAGAATTAAATTTCCCCTAGCATCATGACAACCATGATATGTTGGTGGTCAAAAGCCAATGGTGGCACCACGTGGGAAAGCATACCCCGTTCTTAATTATGCTGTATCCATTCTGTACATAGGGCTTTGACCTTCAAGGCTGTCAGGTTAATGCAAACAAAGGGCATGTCTACTATATAATGACCATGCATCCGAGCTAGGAGACCCCAAACCACACCCTGCCCACTTACTGCTGCACATATACTTCAAACCCAGAAGTGCACTGGTGAAGATGTTGAGACATCAGTCTGCGGCCAGTCCCAAGATCTTGCTCTCCAATGCACTATTAGGGATGACCCTGGAACCACTTCACAGGTGTGCTTCCAAGTTTGGAGAGTGCGTGAAAGCATGGGTGGGTGGGATGTGCTTGGACCCACTCCAATCAGGAGACATGCTCCACATGAACTTTACACACACACACACAGATAAAAAAGCATACAAGATTGGCCTTGGATACTGTTTGCCATGTCTTGATTCAGTAAGTTCTTTTCATTTCCGAACACACTAAGGTAGAATGATTCATTCCTGAAATACTTGTGGTACAATACAAAAGCTGACAAACCCTTAAATTAAAGGCCCCCATTCTAAACCCCCCACAAATTGCACACTGCTGGTTATGACATATCACCCCTCCCTTGAACCTGTACAGAAAATCCTCAAAAAATTGCAACCCATGCTAGAAAGAGACCCTATTCTTAAAAAGACCTTCCCAGAGCCACCCATCCTAGCCTTCAAACAAGCACCGAACCTCGCCAACCTCATCACCAGAAGCAAACTTCCTCAAGCCCAGAACACACCAAAAGGATCCAGACCGTGCCATGACAAGAAATGCAAAACCTGCCAACACATCTCCACCACCCCCACAATTACTACATCTGACAACAGAGCCATCAGCATCCCTGGATCTTACAGCTGAACCTCCAGAAATGTAATACACCTCATCCAATGTACCAAATGCCCTGATGGAAAATACGTAGGAGAGACCAAACAACAACTGCGCACCAGAATGAACGCACACCAGAAATCTATCAAAGACAGAAATACCCAATTACCAGTGGGGGCACATTTCTCGCAGGAGGGCCACTCTCTCTCCAATCTCTCAGTCCTGATCCTCAAGGGAAACTTACACAACACTTCCCAGAGACGAGCCTATGAGCTCCATTTCATCAACCTCCTAGATACTAGAGATCATGAACTAAACATAGACACTGGATTTTTGATACATTATAATCTGCCTGACATCTGACTCCCCAGCCCAGCCCCTGGCTTGTTTACTTTTCATTCCATCCAGGAAGAGCACACACCAACTGCTGAAACTTCCTTAGCCTGACAAAGGGTTTTTGAACCCGAAAGCTTGCTTAATAACTATTCTCTAACTATCTGGGTTGGTCTAATAAAAGATACCAATTCATCCAAAGAACCTTGTCTGCCTATGTCCTTAGACCAACACGGCTACAACCTACACCCCATCTACATGTTACACTTGAAGTGTGATTAATCAGTTCCAGCCACATGTTCAATCAATTAATGGAGCGATTAAAAAAAGGAAAAAGCTGCAAAGTTATTCCACAAAATATGTGGAATAACTGTAGCTGCTTCTTATCACTCCATTAATTGAACGTGTGGCCAGGGGCCCCTGTGGCTGGGAGTGCCATCAGCTGATCAGGAGCACCCCTGCAGCTTGGAGATTGCACCCATCAGCTGAGGGGGCTCCCAGCCACGGGAGCCTGTTTCTCACTGATGCAGGGGGAGCCCTATCCTGAGCTCCCCCTGCACTGGCAATAGTGTGATGGGATCCGATTCGCAATCCCAAATCACGCCTCTTCCCAGGCACAACTGCACGGCTCACGCATTAGATCCCATCATGCCTTTACCTGCATGTGTAGAGGGGCCCTAAGGCCTAGATTCGAAAAGCAACATAAGCACCACAGTGTTAAGCATTAGGAACTCCACTAGATCAGGCCCCTCAAGGCAGAAAGAATGCCCTGTTTTATGTTTCATGGTCAGTCTCAGGAGGTATGGGCTGCTGGGATATTTCTGGGCAAGTACAGAAACAGAACTTGAGGCACATGGAGAACTTTAACACTAAAATGGAAGTACCCTAGTCAACTTACGGTATATCTATACCACTTTCCACCTGCTGCCAAGAATACATGGTCCCTAGCATGTCCTGCTAAACCTACAAGTGCAGCAATGAAGCTGCATTCAAGCCTGCATTTGACCGGGCTTTAAACTAAGCTCACTTGGGGATGGGCGGACAACCATCAGAGCAAGCTCACCAAGCATCAACGGCAAAAATCAGCAAGTTAGGATGCACAAACGAACCCACTCCCACCCTAGCCCAGGAACAGAGCTTCTGCATAAGTACAAGTAAGCCTAGGGCCTCCCATGGCAAACTTTCTTGCCTGTACACTAATGCTAGGAGTTTGGGGAATAAACAGGAGGAACTGGTCCTTTTGCTAACCAAAAATGACTACAATCTCATAAGGATAACAGACATGGTGGAACTCCTCTTATGACTGGACTACGGGTATAAATGGCTATACCCTGTACAGGACAGATCATGCCGAGAAAAAGGGTGGGGGTGTAGCTCTCTATGTCAAGGAAAGCTACATGTCCCTACAAGCTGAGATTGGCACCCAAGGAGGACAACTGGAGACCCTCTGGGTTAGAATACGAAGGGAACGTGGTGAAGGGGATACAATGAGTCTCCTACAGACCTCCGAACCAGGAACAAGAACTTGACCAAGAATTTGCCATGGAACTGGCCAAGGCTGCATGCTCTTGGTGCATGGTTGTTATGGGAAACTTCAACTACTGGGACATCTCACGGGATTAGCACTCGGCCAGATCTGATCGGTCTCAAAGTTTCCTTACATATGTGGATGAACTCTGCCTGTCTCAAGAAGTTTATGGGCCGACAAAAGGGAAGGTGCTGCTGGACCTGGTACTGGCCAAAGGGGATGATCTAATCTGTGACCTAAGAATTGAAGGGAAGCTGGAGGACAGTGACCACAAGTTGATCACTTTTGGTATCCATCGCAAAGCTAGCAAGTCAGCCAGCAATGCAGTAGTCCTCCACTTTAGGAAAGCTGACTTTCATAAGCTCAGGAAGCTTGTTTTGAGGCCCTGACAGACCACGATTTCACAGGGAGGGGAGTTCATGATGAAGAGATCCTAGAAGCACTAGGGGAGTCCATGCCAACCCATAGGAAAGGTGGTAAAAAGGCTCAACAACTCCCTTGGCTCAACAGGGAACTAATTCATGGATCTCCTATGTCTCTAAAGAGAGGCTTATAAAGGATGTAAGACAGGAAATACCACTAAGGAGGAGTATTCTGTATTGGTCCGCACCTGCAGGAAGCAAACTAGGAAAGCCAAGACTGCAACTGAAGCGGCTACACGAATCAAAGACAATAAAAAGTCCTTCAGATATGTGGGAAGCTGAAAGAAAAACAAGGGCAACATTGGACCCCTGCTAAACCAGCTGAGGCAGCTGACTATCAACACTTAGGAAAATACCAATCTGCTTAACGATTACTTTGTTTCGGTTTTTCACCAGCCCAAAGGGACCACCCTGCCTAACATGATGTGGGATGCCCAGGGTGAGGGTGAATCCATTGGCGTGGATCTTGTGAGGAAGCATCTTGAGAGGCTGGACACCTGCAAATCAGCTGGTCTAGATAGATTGCACCCAAGAGTGCTAAAGGAACTGGGAGACATCGTAGTGCGGCCACTGGCAAGGATATTTGAGAACTCGTGGCGCTCAGGCAAAGTACCTGAAGATTGGAAGAGGGCCAATGTGGTGCCCATCTTCAAGAAAGGGAGGAAAGAAGACCCAGGAAACTACAGGCCAAATCAGTTTGACCTCAATCTCTGGGAAGATTTTGGAAAAAATTATCAAAGAAACCATTCTTGACAAACTAACAGAAGACAACATTCTGAGGGATAGCCAGCACAAGTTTGTTGTGGGTAGATCTTGCCTGAGCAACCTCATTTCCTTCTGTGATCAGTTGACATATCACCTGGACGAAAGGGAAGAAGTTGATATAATTATTTGGACTTTAAAAAAGCCTTTGACCTGGCGTCCCATGATGCCCTCACGGAAAAATTGGGCAACTGCGGCCTCGGTCTGATGGCTGGGGAACTGGCTCCGAGGTTGAATCCAGAGAGTGGTAGTTGATGGAACCGAATCAACATGGCACTCAGTGACTAGTGGTGTCTCCCAAGGCTTTGCTCTCAGACCTGTACTCTTTAATGTCTTCATAAACGATCGGGACGCTGGTGTCAGAAACAGACTGGCTAAGTTCACTGACAACACCAAACTTTGGGGAAGAGTGTCCACACTTGAGGACAGGCTGGTGACCCAGGCTGACCTCAATAGGCTTGCAAGGTGGGCGGATGAAAACCTGATAGCATTCAATATGGAGAAATGCAAGGTGCTCCACCTCGGGGGGAAAAAACCCGCATCACACTTACAGGTTTGGCAGTGCTACAATCGCTAGCATCATGACTGAGACTCGGGGGTCACGATGGACCGCAAGATGAACATGAGCCACCAATGCGATACTGCAGCTGGCAAAGTGAACAAAACTCTGGCTTGCATCTACCGATGTATCTCAAGCAAGATCCAGGATGTCATCCTCCCATTGTACTCGACCTTGGTGAGACGACAGCTGGAGTACAGCATCCAATTCTGGACTTCACAATTTAGGAAGGACGTGGAGAAGCTTGAAAGAGTCCAGAGGAGAGCCACATGCGTGATCAGAGGGCAAGAGAACAGGCCTTATGAAGAAAGGCTGTGGGCTATGGGACTCTTCAGCCTGGAAAAGCACAGGCTCAGGGGTGACTTGATGGCAGCCTATAAGTACATAAGGGGTGTGCATCATGATCTGGGGGAATGACTGTTCACCAGAGCACCCCAAGGGATGACAAGGTCCAATGGTCATAAACTCCTGCAAGACTATTTTAAGCTGGTAATAAGGAAAAACTTCTTTACTGTATGAGCCCCCAAGGCCTGGAACAGACTCCCCCCAGAAGTGGTGCAAGCACCTACTCTGGACAATTTCAAGAAACATTTGGATGTTTACCTTGCTGGGATCCTTTGACTCTAGCTGACTTCCTGCCTCTTGGGTAGGGGACTGGACCCAATGATCTTACGAGGTCCCTTCCAGCCCTAATGTCTATGAAATCTATATCTTCAGTATGTGAGAGTGACCCCCATTGTATTTCTAGGTTAGGTGCATGCAGCCAGGAGCAGCTGGGCAGGACATTTCAAGAGGGCTTCAAAGCTGGAGGAGAATTTTCAAGATTTCAATTTTGGAATGACGTACTGAAGTTCCATTTTTTTTATTGACATACAAAAAACTAGAACTCTTGGTTCCAAAATGATACCTTTTATTAGACCAACTGGAAAATGGCAAGAAAACTGTCCTTTTCTGCAATTTTTTTTATTGGGCACTTTGCTACTCTACGACTTCATGGGCCAACTTTTTCTTTGCTGGCTTTCCACCTTGTGTAATCCTTAGTTTCATAGGCACTCCATTTATGTGCATACTGGGTAAGTGCATGATTTACTTAACTGCAAAACAGGATGCCAGCCCCATTTAACTACTTTCTGTTTCATAGATTTCATAGACATTGGGGCTGGAAGGGACGTCGGAAGATCATCGAGTCCAGCCCCCTGCCCAAAGGGCAGGAAGTCAGCTGGGGTCATAGGATCCCAGCAAGATAAGCATCCAGTTTGCTCTTGAAGGTGTTCAATGTAGGCGCTTGAACCACCTCTGGTGGCAGGCTGTTCCAGACCTTGGGGGCTCGGACAGTAAAGAAATTCTTCCTTATGTCCAGCCTGAAACGGTCTTGTAGTAGTTTATGACCGTTCGTTTACAGTGTTTACAATGGACCAAACTCCAATTACCTGTCTGCTGGTCACATGCATAAGCCATTTCAATGCGAAGCATCTTCCAGCCCTACTGCCTACTTTGTAATGCAGTTGTGGTCTAGTAAGATAACTGAAATAAAATGGTGAAAGGGAAACAGGTGTCAAAGGACTATTTTAGAAGCCTTGAAAATGACCAGTGCTAATTCCCTCCTTCAAACATGCCCTACAGTAGGGTAAAATGGATACTAGTATGGGAAGTCGATCAGCCAACAAAAAAATCTGTGGGAAAACCAAACAATTCCTTCTCCTCTCAAGCAGTGTGAGGTTCTTGCCCAAAAGCCTGAGTATGAAACTACTGCATACTGAAAAGCGGTGGTTATTTGCAAAGAGAATGGTGTCAATTTGAGAGGGATGTGGGATCAAGCAAGGCATGCCCTACCTGTACAGGGAATGAACCAGGGGAGTGGCAAACATGGACAGCAAGGGCAAACACCGGCACATGAGTGTCTGCCTGTACATGCATGCTCCTGAGTGTGTGTGAACCTGGTGGAGCAGGAGGTCAAGCATACTCTCAAAGTAAGGTGTGCCCCACCAGCAACAAAAACAAATGCCTATACATGTGCATCTGTGCCCCTGAGTGCATGTGTATGTGTGTGAGAGCCTGTCTGGGTAAGCGGACAGGCATACACTGTGCCTAGCTGCCCAGGGGCTATGCCACAGAACTGGCAAGCACAGGCAACAAGGGCACACACCTGCGCATGTATACGTGTCTGTACACGTGAGTGTGTTTGCACATGCCTCCTGGAGGGGGAAGGGGGCCTGCCTACCTGGTGGCAGCTGGCTCCAGCCTCCAGCATCCTCTGCAGGGCACTGATCATCCTTTTGCGCCGCCGGCACTCCTCCTGCAGTCGCTGCACCTCCTGCCCATGCCGTGCCGCCTCCTCACCCAGCTGGTCACGCTCAGCCCGGGCTGCCTCCAGCGCTTGTTCGAGGGTGTGGAGTTGAGCGGCCAGACCATCCTGGCAGTGCAGCAGGTACTCTGTGGGGAGCTGCACCAGCCGCAGCAGCTTGAGCAGCAGCGGGTCAGCGGGGCCACGGCAGTGTGGGCAGTGCTCCCGCTCCGCGCTGCAGAAGGTGATGTGCGCCAGGTGCTCCTGCAGCAGTGCCACATCCCGCTCACGCTCCACCCGCTCCACGTCCACCGCACTTAGGCGCCGCCAGTCTGGGCTGCCCTGCCGTGCCCGAAACCCGAAAGTCGGCACCGCTGGGGCCGGGGCGGCCATGGCTGCATCCAGTGGGTAGTACACATGTTCCCGAAATGGCTGCACACACAGAGAGAGACAAAGACATGGCTTAGTGTGTCTAGAGAGTGAGAAGGGCTTACCATGGGCTGGGGAGAGGAACTGCCCTCCTCTGCATTGCCCTGCCCAGCTGCAGCCTCTTACCATGCCCAGCGGGCCTGGCCCAGCCTGGCCTCCACTCTCACTGGCTGTGTGGGGCCCCCGCTGCCATGGC